GACTCCCACGTAGTCGACCGCGATTCGCGTCCCGGACCCGGTGGCTTAAAACTCACGCCGGGTGCGTGTGCGTGCGTGCCCAAGATCCCGAGAGGAAAATGGAGAAGAGATTGCGGCGTGGCCACCCCCCCCTGGGGGGTGATTACTCACTTTCTGTCTCTATGTCTCTCTGTCTGTCTGGCAAGCGCACGCACCCTATAGCGAAAACCTCTCAAAAAAAAATTTTTTTTCATTGGTAAGGTTGGCTAAACTTTAAAGTAAAGTTGGAGTTTCCTCTATTATTTTCTTCAGGGAAAAAAAAAAGAAGAAACCAAGAAGTAATGAGATTTAATAGCATATTATCACAAAATTAATTTAGGAATTGATCACTTGGTACTGGGATACATAAAAAATGATATTATACCAAAACTTTCATAAAGTTTCAGGTCACAAATCAATGAAAAACTCTGAGAAACAAAGGAGACAAACAAGGGTCATATCAGGTACATGTGAAACTCTAAAGAAAAATGTCATATTTTATTATCAAAAAAAAACCCTAGAATATGAAATAAAAGCATGCCTTTGCTACCACTAGTGATTAGAATCAATAACTTAATCATTAGTTTGCACTCTTTTTAGAGGTGAAGTCTGACTAGCCATACTTTTGTATTTGACTATTAAATAAATTTACCATGCATGTAAGCAATGCTTTTGAGAAAAAACCTTTCAGTTTCTTTGTTTATAATTGCTTCTGACAATAGATGACTATAGATGTAAATAACGGTCATCTAGAGATGCCATTTCCTCCAAGAGACTCCCCAGCCTACCTGGGTTGGTATACAGCTGGCTCTCCACGGTCTTGCCAATGCACTGTAGTTTAATAGCCTGCAGGGAATCGTCCACATGCATGAAGGTTGGCAGGCTGCCCAGAGTATCTTGGACCAAGTTGGCCACTTCTCGGACATCAAAGAGCTTCAAGAGTTCTGAGTACACAGCTGGGAAAGAGCTCAGAAACACAGCCTTAAGAAGAAGAAGAAATTTAAATCAGTTCCTAGATATGTCTGAGAGAGAAGCTGTAAAATGTCAGTGAAGTTAAGGATTGTGACAAATACTTTTGTTGTTTCTTTGTTTTAAGAAAGATTTTTGCTATAGGGCACATGCAATCACCAAAGAGACAGAGACAGACAGAAAGCAAGAGATCACCCTTTCGGGGGAATGACAACACGACAATCCTTCTCCTCCATTCTCCTCTTGGGATTTTGGGTATACACACATACACACCTGGGGTGAATTTAAAGCTATCAAGTCCAGGACTCGAACCGTGGTTAACTACTTGTGAGTCCAGTGACATAACCATTGTACCATCTGCTGGTTGGACAAATATTTCCTTGTTTATTTATGTTTTTCTTCCTTGTATGTGAGAGAGAGGGGAGGAGAGGTGGTGAGGAAGGAAGATATCCCCACTGGGGGGAATTCATGGTGTAATCTACCCTGTCTCAGCCAGCTAGGATCATGGGCATGAATGTGTTTCCAGTGTGTACAGGAAACCATGGGACGTTAACCCAAGACGTTCCCATGTAGTCTCAGTATCACAGAGTGTGTTGTGCTACTGCTATGCCATCGTGGCTAGCCAGTGCGACAAATATTTTTTAAATGGCACTAAAATGAATGTAAAATATTTCTGTTACCTAAAGCTAAAAGGGGTGGGGGGAGTACAGTCAAATAAGATAGTTCTTTGAAATGTGCATAGGAGAATTTCCTATAACTAGGAAAATCACTGACATTAGCAAAACGATTGGCAAAATCCTCTCAGAATCAGCAAAATGCATTATGACTGAACAGAAAGAATGTTCAACTAAGACCTGGATTATAGTCACTGGTATTTTATTCCATTTTGGAGAAGTTTTCTGAAGTGCTCATTTAAATCTCATTTATCTTCAAGAAACCAAACACATTAATTCCCTAAAGCGCTCAATTTATGATTTAAGAGAAAAACACAGGATGAGACATCAGAAGACCTGGGTTATATGTACCATTAACTGTGTTTCTAATCAAACTGTGACTTTGGAAAGTCGTTTTTCCCTCTAGGCTTCATTTTCATATCCCCCCACCCCCCCGTTTTGAAAGAGAGAGAGAAAGAGACAGGTATTTCTGAGAGTCTTGCTGTGTTGCAGTCCTCCTATCCCAGCCTCCAAGCTAATCCAATTAGCTACAATTACAGGTATGTGCAACCAGGCCTGGCATGTACACTCTGGCCTGGGAACTGAACTCAGGTTTTCCATGGGGCTCCTAGCTTCCTAAGCAATGGTGCTACCGGAGGCCATGGGGTTGAGCCTACTTTAATCCCCTGTGAAATGAAAAGATCAACAGAACAACCCCTTAGGTTGTTTATTAAGATCTATTATTGTAAACTAAGAACTGTATGTACAGAATAAGAACATTTTTTTTATGTAAAAAAAAAAAAATGAAGAGCCGATAACCATTTTCTTAAAGAGAAAGAAAAGATGCTAACATCAAATACCAAACGGTACACTTTAAAAATTATAGGACCACATATTAAACAAACTCAGTCTTTTAAAATTCCATTGAAGAAGGGCTATGGGAGGTAGAGTCTGTCAGCCTCAACTCTATTTAGTCAGGGAAGGCGGTATGGGTAATATTTCTAACATGCTTAGACTAAGTGCTAGCTAGCTTACTAATGAGATCCGACACCATCAGAAAGTAGGTCAAGTCTACGTGTGCTGATGTTTCAAACATGGAATCAAATTCAAATTCTAGGATTTTAGTATTTATCTATACAGCAGCAGCAGCAAAAAAATTTTAAAAAATAAAAAAAAAATCTCAAGTCAAGATCTGTTTCTGATGTCAGAGTCATCAAATTGCTTAAGGTGCTGTCATCAACGGTTATGCTCCTTCACTCTCCAAAATGATAGATCTACTTGAATATATCTAAAATTAATGGTGTTCCTGCTAACGACTATGTTTATATAACCTTCATATCATGCTGCAAAGAACTGAGTCATGCAGAAGAAGTTAAATAAAAATAAGCTCAGCTTTTTAAGTACTAAAAAGTCAACTAAGTTGATCTCCCTCAGAGAATCCTTAATTTATCCATTAATTCTTTATTTATACCTCTTTACTTCAAAAATGTATCTGAATATGCCTACAATATATGATACATAAGTGACAGAACTGTTAAAATGGATTAAAAAAAACAAGGACTTTGTGATGAGGGCAGAAAGACAGTTGTACTAGGACAAGCTAAGGGTTTTTCCAGAAAATAAAAGTATAATTTAGTTTTAACCTTAATAATTATTAAGGATTTAGGAACTTGCAGCATTCCTCTTTGTCTGATAAGAGTCCTGTAGTAGGGGCCTGTCTACAGAATGGAAAACCAGCTACTGTTCAGCTGCCTATGAGCTCTGTCCTGGCCAGGGCTATAAGGACAGTGTCATGAGCAACTGAGGTTAGGTCAGGAGATCTAACAAATTTCACCCAGTAGGATAAGGATTGACAGAACTGTGGGACAGTTATCTAGTGAGTCAGTGTGAACAATTGCTGGAATGGTTGCTCTGCCTCCAGGAGAGGGATTTGCTCTGCATTGGAGATCAAAAGAAAAACAAAACAAAAACAATGCATGAAGCAAGGAAGCCAGGTTTCTGCAACCTAGTAATAAAACTTGAACCAAAGGATATCCTTGGCTCTGATGTGATAGGGAGAAATCTAAGATGACTTCATGACCTTTGTCTTCTGGTATTGTTCCTATCATTATGCAATGTTATATGACAAAAGAGGTTTTGTAGATTTAATGAGGGCTATAAATCACTTGATCTTAAAATATGGAGATCATCCAGGTGGGTTAACTACTCACATGCACTCTTAAAACAGAGTTTTCTCTGGCTGGTAGCAGACAGAGGTTGGAAGCAAGAGAAGGATTTAATATATTGTGCTGTCTTTGAAGATGGAGTGGCCATGTGAGGAATGCTAACTGACCTCTAGAAGCTGAGATCACCTCTCTGGGCTATTCCTATCTTCATCTGTAAACAGTCAACACAGAAATGGGGACCTTAGTCTAACAAACGAAGGAAACAAACTTTTGCTAGCAGCCTGAATGATCTCAAAAGCAAAATTCTTCTCCAGAGCCTCTAGATAAGACATCAAATCACAGGAACACCACCAGAGGACAAAGGTTACTGGAGTAATCTTAGAATTCTGCCTACCACATCTAAAGCTAAGGACATTCATTGGTCAGAGTTTTACTATTAGGTTGGTAAGCAATAAACCCACCAAACTTGCTTGGATTTCTGACCTACAGAACTGGAGCCAAGAGAGGGCTGTTTAAAGTCCTAAAGCTTATGGTCATTTGCTATTTAGCAACAGAAAACTAACACACTAAATTGATGGGATTAGTGACATGCTGCTTTTTGAAAAAGAAGTGTGAAGAGAACCTGCTGTGGGAAATGTAACATCCCCCTTCATTCCAAACTATGGAGGGCCAAAACTCCCATTGCTTCATAAAGAAAACTGATGATTTCATCATTTTATATAAGTGTTTAATAAGCATCAAACTAAAATTAAAATGATCACATCACAATTTATAAGGAATACTGTACAAAATAATACTAACTTTAGTAGAGTTTATAAAGATATTCAAAAACTTTATGTACATATTTTATATAGTACCTTTTGATGAAAAGCTAAGGGCCCATAAAACCAAATATAATTTTTTGAAGGTGCTAAAGTTGTTTCTCAAGCTTGATGGTGGGATAGAACATAGAAAATCAAGAACAGTGAAAGTCAGCATGATAAATGTTGAAGCAATGTATAAAAGAGTTCTTCCATCCTATTGTACCATGGTAGCTCAAGTCCCCTCAAGATCCTTAAGGGGAATTCTAGGATTCAGTGAAAACATGAATAAGATAAAAAAAAAAAATTCTCTAATTAAAAGGGAAAAAAATCTCTTGAATCCCTAGGATGTGAGAAACCATGACATAAATATTTTCTTACTCTAAGCCCAGGTATGAATTAAGCAAGTTTTGTTCCTAAAACTGGTAAAAGGAAAAAAAGAAAAATCTCAAGATGAAACTCAAATTTTAAACCCCTTTTGTAGAAATCGGTCATTTCAGAGAACTGGGACACAAAGGGATACACGGCTAGCCTGCTGGCTTAGCCTTCTGAAACACCTACTGCTGTAAGTAGGGATCTGTTACTGGGCAATTTGGTATGGAGGTCTCTGGCAGGTTCCTAAAGTGCAGTGATCCTACTGGTGACTATGAGGAGATCTAAAAAAAGTTGGTAAGAAAATAGAATCAAGGTAGAAATTATTTTGGTGCAAAAATTTTTTGAAATCCGTGCACAGATTTTTCATAAAATTTTCTAAAACTTCTTGAAGAACTCCTCATAGACAGCAAAATGACATTTAACAGAGCCTTAGTTGTATCTGCCTGGATGGAAGATGAGTCTACCTCTGTAAGAAGACAATAATAAGAAAAGCCCCCTCAACAGTCAGAAAAAAGTACAGCTCTACTATCAGAGGGTTCTTGCTTTCTAGTGTTTTGCCATTACACGTCAGGCTTTCCAAATGTCACATTTCATCAACTTATAACAAAAGTGTTGGGCCAGTCCATGGCCTGGAGCTTAATGCAGCTGGATTCGACATGGCTGACCATGTGGCTTAAGTCCTAGATCTAGTGGCTTGAAAAAGATCCTGGGTGCCTATGTGTGTATGCCCAAAATCCTGAAAGGGGGAAGAAAAAGGATTGCCATGTGACCATGCCTCGTTGAGGGGAGGAGAGGGCAGGATATACTTTTTTCATTCCGCCTATCTGTTGTCCAGTGAGTGCACAGGACCTCTATAAAGAGTAAAAAAAATGCAAAAGGACTATGAAACCATAAAGATATTCAGAATCATCTCAGAATATATTCAAGGTTATGCTATTTGGAAAGTGCATGGATCATGTTCTTAAAACATGTGGGACTATGGTTTGAGTTCTGGGCCTGACAGCTTGTCACAACAGGCATGTGAGCATGTGTGCCCCAAATCCCAAGAGGAGAATGAATGAGAAGAAATTGTGGTGAGGCCATCCCCTTGGCAGGTGACTCTCTCTGTCTCTCTCTGTGTCTCTCTGTCTCTTTCTCACCACTGAGCACACAAACAAACAAACAAAAACATTACCGGGCTATTCCTGGTAGTAGACTCTGGCAGCAGCAGTTCAGCTGGTTTTATAAGATCAGTTCCAAGACAATTAGGGTCAAGTTAAGTAAAACAAAACAACACGCAGTTTAGCCAAGTCCACTGCAATGATTCTCAAGTTGATAGATTGAAATGCAGTGTGAGGCTTGGGGAAAAGAACTGCAACAGACTGGCTCAAGAGAAACTCCTTCCCCAAGGTTGATGGTGACAGCATGTCTGATCATCAGTATGTGTTCTGGAAACTAAAAATGAGGCCCATGCAAACTAATAGCCTCTCCATAGAGACAGACAGTGGTCTGAGGAAAGGCAACCCACTTTCGTACAGAAGCAGGAAGATTTGTAAAGTCTACTCATAAAGTTGGTCAAGTTACAAATATAAACTGAAGCTACAGATCTTGGATGGGAGAAAACATACAATTATGTAGGTGTCTATAAATAAATAAACTGCACTTATATTTCGCTTCTATTCAGTAGAGATGGAAAAAAGTTACCTGTGACTGAGATAATGCTCCAGACCCTTTGCTTTCTTGAGAAAGAAAGAAGCGGACCGACATGAGCAGCTCCTGAATACAGCAGCGGAATTCTTCCTCATTTTGCCCCCCGGTGGCAAGGGAGAACAGCCTTCGTGATTGAACTATGTACTTAAAAATGTATTCTTGCGCCTTCAAATGAACATTTACAAGAGTTAGCTTGAAAGGAGACCAAGAGTATTTATTTCATAATGATACAGCATAAAAATCATGGTATAGCGTTGGACTTTTAAATTATTGATCGATTCACTGAGGCCCTGTGAGAATTTTGAATGGTATTTACTTGTAGGGAGAAGAGCTGTTTTCTTTGATGCCAAGTGAGAGAAACATACAGAAAACTGGAAAATTCCTCAGAACTCTGAGGAGTTATGAACACTAACTGTGTTTAATCCTCAGATGGTTTTTTAAATTTAGTCAACAAAGAGAGAACTATTTTCCAAAAACAGTTTTTGCTTTGGTAGGTATTCTCGCCACTTAGCATCTGATCTTCAATTAGACCAAAGTGATAAACTGATAATGAACAAAATGCTTATTTTATAAAATGTATACATTATCTATTTTTATCTATTGATACCAACTAGGATGGTACTCAATAATTGGAATCAGAAGACTGCCAGGGCTCTTCTAGCCCTTTAATAATTTGTGTTCTTTTTGAACATCTTTGTAAGCAAAACATTAGCATCTCAATATACCACCCAGCATATAGGGCCCAGAGATGTGGGCAGAGTTACACCATGACACCCAGTAAGACTTCAGGTTTCCTCATCATTTCCTGCAGAACCTCCTCACTCTCTTAAAATTTAAGATCAAATGGTTCTCAAATAGTCTCTGCCAGATTGGCAAGACACCAAAGCCTGGAACTTCCAAACTGAACTGCCCACCTGTAGTCTCCTTTCATCACCCCTCCCTTGCCCGTTAATCCTATACTTTACTTCAAGTGTTCTGGAACCCAGAGGAACAAAGATTCCATCCCAAGCAGCTTCCAGTAGATGAGCCTGGCAAAGTCCCTTTCAAATGTCATCAGCTCTGGAGCAATTGTAAGCTGATTATGATCCTTGAATTGAAATGTCAGTAATATATCAGTACCAATTAGTGTCCGTGTAGAAGAAACCAATTAGTTTAAGTATCACCATGTGACAGCTTTGTTAGGCTAGTTCTCTGTTATCAATGGCACATTATTACCTTCAGCACCTCCTGGATGTGCTCTTGCCGTTCTGCTTCTGTTATCCTGTCCACGTACCACTTGAGCACTTTGATGAGGTCTCTAAAATACAGGGAAAAGTGTGCAGAATGTAGAATTGGCCTATTTCTCAATTAAATGCCAACAAATCCAAAGCTTATTTGTATCAGGAGGTGGCTTCTTTCCCCAACAGATCTCATACTTTTCCTGTCAAACTGGTTTATAATAACATACTTTTACTAAATCCACAGATCACCATCATTGCCCCTTATGAAGCCTAAGAAAGAAAGAATACTGACTCCCATTGTGATTCCACTCAATCTGGACATATTCCATTGCCTGTTTCTGGGAAGGCTTCCAAACAGGTGAACACAAATATTGGAGGAAATGACTCTGGCCAAACAAGTGCCTGGAAGTCTGATTGTCATAGGAAGTCTTGGACAACTGCTAATTGAGTTTCTTCCCCAGTGGCCATATAAATAGCTCGATGAAATATCACTGAACTGGAAGCAAAAGGAGACGTGGGGAGGGTGGAAGGAACCTCCCTATTCCAATTCACACCCCCATGGACTTATCAAGCCAATTCTTTCACCTGTGAGCACAAGGCTTGCTGTGAAAATGTGTCTTAGTAGGAGAATTTCTAAAAAAAAAAAAAAAAGGCAGGATTTTCCACCTTTTAAAAGTAATAAAAAATTAGAAAACAACCACCACCTGCAACTCTAAAGATTACAGTCTTGCTACCTTGAGGTTTGGTCAGTTTTTGGTTTCTAGGAAACAGTTCACACAGCAATTTTTCTCTCAGTCAGGAAAGAATTCTTGGATATGCTGGTAGGTAGATGCTGGTGGGAGCACTATTTTTAAGATAATATGTCAGTGAGTTTCTGACCACCCACAGCCTGAGAAGAGTCCATAGGCCTTGTTTGTCTTATTAAGACCGATTATCCTACTTTCCTGGCCAACTTGAAATGTTAGAAATTACACTCCTGTTCTCTAGCTTCCAATGACAATTTCAGTTGGAAGTGGTGACCTCACACTAGGCCCAAATTGTTAGGCTGCATGGACCAACGTTTCAAAATCATTCCTGC